CTCGAGCCCTTCGGCAATCTCCCGACTGCACTCTAGATCTCTATTAACAGTATCATTCCCGAACAGGGCTCAGATTGTAATCGCTTCTAACGATCTTCGAGCAGGGCCTCTGGATGCGGGGTTTTTCCTACTAGTCTGCACCCCTTGACTTGGCACAGCGATCGGCGGAACCACTCATCGCTGGGTCTTTGGCTCCGCGTTAGGATCTCCGAGGATCGCTAAAAACGTCGTGTTGGAATGCCATCAAGCGTGTAGAAAGGGGAAGTACATCCGTCCGGAACAGGTGGCACCCGGCATGTGAGCAGAAATAAGCTTTGCTATAGTCCTCAGGCACACTCTGGCACCATGGCAGTCTTCATGACATGGTACATCATGGATCCCTAGGAGACACGAGCAACGTATCGTTCAACAATCTAATGCAGGGCCACGACGACAATGGTACCAGTATACACGACGACTTTAGGCAAAGCAATGACGAGTGCATCGAATCAGCATGGACCAACGCTCGTATCGAAGGGCAGAAGAAAAATGTCCGAATGTACAGGGGTATCAATCTCAAACATCAAGTGCCGGCAATCGATATTCGCGACTGTACGTCTTCTTCACAATTGCATTATCGAATCTCACTGCCAAGACCGCGATAATCACTATTCCACAAACAAACTTCAATTGTATCGAACGTCTGTCGCATCACGGCCCCGTACGCGTACGTCGGCGACATGAGTTTTCAACAGGGCCCCTTTTCACATTTTATTTTCACTGCGGTAATCGCCAAATTCAACCCTTTCGCCTTTGACTGGACCAAAAAAAATACGTTATACACGAACAGGTGCGACATAGCCCCAAATTCGCATGTGCAGGGACCCCCGTCGTATCAATAAAAATAAAAAATATCGAAAAATTCAGCCTTGTTCATCGATATACGCACCCCTTATTCGTGCTTACTCCATCTCGTACGACAAAGGGCAACAGCCTATTACACTTTCAGCTAGTAGCCGCATCACACAGACACGCATATACTACCCTGGTCCTCGCAGCACACAATCCAGGGGGATATCACACCACCAGAATCCACTGTGCCGGTACAGTCTCTCTTTTTTGATTACCTGATGCTTACCAGCACTCCATCTCCCTGCTCCCTGCTCCCCTCCCCCCCGGATCAGCCGCTCACCGCGTCATTGTCGCCGAACACCATGTATGGAAAAAAACCAATAGTTCACACCCAGCTCTATAGGCAATGGAGATAATTAAGAAATCATCACAACATATTAGCGCACGAGCTGGCTAAATAGTATGATTAGCATTTTACCCAGTAAGATGCTTAGCCGTCGCACTCGTGTTGCATATCTGGTTTTGTCGCTCGCTGGCTAAGGGGGGTGTGGGGGGGTGTGGGGGGGTGTGCTGGCGCATCAAAGACGAAGAACAACCGCCGCCGTAGCCGTCGCAAAAAAAAAAGAGAAGGCAAAAAAAAAGATTAGTTTTACAACGATGGTGGCGAAAGACAAAAAAATCCCACTACCATGGTGCTGGTGATGGCATGTTGCTTGTTAGACAAGCAAGCTTGAGTAGTAATCCGGAGCAGCTCTCTCCGTGCACAAAAACATACATACTTACACACACACCTAACCCAGGCCCGAAAAGCTAGTAGACAACCTCGCAACCCCCAGCCTACACAGCCGCCCACAACAAGGATCGACCTGTCTCTCCAATAGTCCCGGGCCTACTTTTTTTTCCTTTCTCTGTCCTGCTGTCTTGGTCGACAGAATCGCCCATGGAATAAGGCGTCTTGGCATACCCTCTTTTTTTCTTGGCTTGGCCCTTTCCTAGCGCTGTCTCTCTCTCACACTCACACACACACACCACACATTCTGTCATCTCGTGTTGTGGGGGTAGTACTTTGTTTTCGCCACCCGGAGTAATCGTCTTACGTGCATGGCCGCTCATATATTTGTCCACTGCATCGCATTACTACTTCCGGACACGTGCGCGTATCAGTGGGTTCCCGTGGTTTGGGTTGCGGTGGGGGGATTAAGTCAGAAGCGGAAGTCATACGCGCGAGCACAATACACACACTCAAAGAGAGAGATAGACAGACAGACAGAGAGAGGGGCACAGAGAGGCACAGAGGGCGCAGATAGGCGGCCGGGCTATCGTTATCCAACATCAGGGTCTGCTAAAAGGTAAGAAGCTTGGTTATGTGTAAGCTCGGAGAGTGCAGCGCGGCGGCGGGCGCACGGCGACGGCGCCGACGGCGGGTGCTGGGCTCCCCAACGACGGTGATGGGCTGTCTATCCTACCTGTTCTGATCTGTCTGGCAAACCCCTCCATCGCCATGGCCGAACTTCAGTCGCCTAAAGTTGCATCTTTCGTGTTCGTTTTGCGTCTGCAATGCGAATGCGAAAGAAAAAGGGCGGGTTTCGGCGACAATCTGATCAAGTGCTTATGAGAATAAGGTTCTGGGGGCAAAGGGTAAGTGTGTGCTTCACGTTATCGAGTGATTTGGATCCATGAGGTCTGCTCCGGGCCCTGCGAGGCCTAGACTGAAAGCTTGGGGGTGCGTGTGTGTGTGTGGGGTGGGGGGAGTGGGCGTCGGGAGTGGGCAGTTTGGGCGAATGGGTTTATTTTTCCACGTGAAAGCACGATACTCTCTATGTCTGATGATAATATCTTCTCTCTCATTTTTTTTTCGGTGTTTGCGTCCTGTGCATACGGGCTCCGTTGCACGTTCACCCACCCACACTATTATTTAGGGATTTAAGGACCGTGTCTGTGTGTATGTTGGTATGTGTCCGTCCGTCCGCCCGCCCTGGACACTTTAGTGCAATAGCAATGCTGTAATATGGATGTATATTGCCCTTAATATATGTATCGAATGTTCTTCTCCTTCTGTGTGGATGCTTCTTGGCGTATTCCTTTTGATTGCTTCGTTTGGCGACTAGAAAATATAAAAACATTGATAATTTGGTTTTGCTACGTAATCACGTAATGTTATGTTTAGCGTACATT